GAGGAAAGAGAGCTGCTACACCAACCAAGAACCAGGTATACTCCACTCACCTTTGTACTGATGAAGAGAGTGGTAGAAACCCAGGAAATGGCTATTGACTACCATTTGCTACTGACTAATATAACAGATCTGGAAAATCATGAAAAGAGAAGCATTTCCCCTTGATATTGCTAGCAAAATGCCATGGTGAATGGTACTGAATATGAAATAAACTATTTCAATTGTGTGGAATGACTGCTACCATAATACTCCATTATGTCTCCTGACACAAAAGACTTCATCCTTCTAAGGCTTCAAAACACATTAACCTCATTTTTGTGGGGGGTGCAGGGTGCAAAGCCACTCTGATAGTCATTTTAATCAAGTGGAAGCTAAGCATAGGGGCCCACTCAACCAGCAACTGAAATAATTCTGATTTCAAGGGAAAGCGTTGATCTGTATCACTGCATTCACTCAGCAAAGCAGCAATATTAAAATAGCTGGAAAAAAAGGGCACACTTTAATCAAAGTGATTTTCTTTTGACAGTCAAAAATATATTGTATTGCCTTAAGCAATATCTCTGACAAAATGTTTTCCTTTTAGATAAGATTTGATGTATGAGGAATAAAGAGCATCTTGGGGTTCTTTTGTTTTATTAACGGGAAAGAAAGTGAACAATTTTTTAGAGAAAAAACATTTGGAGCCTTTCAAGGAATCTCACATTTTAGCTTAGCATAAAATATATGCAGTTAAAATCTGAACCACATCACCAGTAGGTTTTAAATGGTCTATAGATCAACCCAAGTCAGTGTCAATGACTAGTCCATTGAGTCTAGACATTGTCTTTGTCTCCATTGTAATGGTGATAAGTGTTGTTCAAGGAATAGAGGAAACCACACTGACATTTTTATTACCCCCTGCATGCTTAGGGAGTGAGTTGGTTGCTTAGAGACTAATCTTGGGAACTGCAAATAAAGGCAGATGGCATTATTCTAATCTAGAATGATATTGACAGAGGTCAATACTAGCCTTCATTTGTGCGCCCTTCACTCTGTAAAATACTTGATTCTTAATTAACTTGGTTGAAGCATCATGTTTGTTTAGGCTAAACAGCATTTTATAGTAGATGCATATAGATGGTGGGGGTGGACAATTCTATAGCACAAAGCTTATTTCTCACCGTCCTACTTGGCTGCTGCTTATATTGTACCTCCACGGTTGGAGGCAGTATGTCTCTGAGCACCACTTGGCTCAGTGGGGAGAATTCTGTTGCACCAAATTCCTGCTTGCACCGAATTCCCATAGACATCTGGCAGGCCACTGTGATAGCAGGATTTGGTGACTTCATTTTACCTCTTGCTCTGTGGTCACATATCAGACATCAGAAACATTCTCATACCTTCAAACCAAACATATAAATATTGGTGGATGCTATTTTCAGGTAATATCTAGTCTTCCCAGAGCTTTGAAAGCATATTCGTTCCCTCCCACCCACCCAACAAAACCCTCTCTGGGTCAGTAATAAAATGCTGATTAGGAAGTAACAGATGACCATCATCCATGGCACACTGAAAACACAAATGCATTTGTAAAGCGAAGTGTTCCATAAAGCTGATCCCGCCCCCCCCCGCCCTTTAAAGTGGCTATAAAAATGTTACGCTCTTATTCAGCATGTCTTCTTTAGCTCTGCAGCATTAAGTTAGAGAAGACTAGAGGCAAAAACAAACCCAATTTTCTATGTGCAGAAGAAACTGGGGAATGTACTTTTATTTTAGTACTGGTAATAACCCATACAATACAAATTATGTAGCTTGACATTAAATCCCATGTTAAGTACACAATAGGGAGGTGTTAGGAGCAGAAGATGAGTTTTGTGCGTGTATGGGTTCAGGATTTTTCTGAATATGATGCATACCTCTACCTAATGCTACAAAATATTTACACACTATTCAAATGCAGAAACTTTCATCTGCAGGAAAACAGCCCTGGGCTTCCCACAGCAGAGAATTCAGAAGCCTGGGCACAATTGCTGAGAAGGACCTCATAGTTTCTGCTTGGCAATCTGCTCCACTTTAAGGGAGCAGAAAGGCATGGAGTGGGGCCTTAGATTAATATGTGAGTCATTAAGCAGGGTGATATTTGACAAGGCAGTTCGTCAGATATCCTGGGCCTAGTGTTCCTCACTTTATGACTGCAGCTTCCAATGATGCCTTGTCTATTGCCCTATTCAACCATTTGTCTTCTGGGATAGCTAAACACATGAGCAGGAAGAGCGGCAATGAGTGAGCAAGCTCCACCCACTCTCCACCACTGTCTGCATTGCCCTCCACAAGTTGGAGAGTGATAATCTGCAGGGTTCTGCGTCAAGCGAGGAGGCTAAATGACTAGAACAGGGTTTGTGTGAATTACAGATGAATCACAGATAAAAAGCCAGAGAATTAACATTTGTATTCTGGAACTCACAGTGCTTTTCAACTGAGTCTCTTCATATGTTTTGTCAATAAGTGTAGTGAAATCCAATTATGTATATTTATGTGTGGTCCATTTTAAGAGATCAGCAAATGTTCTTGCGTACTAACTGGGCTGTAGCAATAACAGGATATCTTCTATGTCTGTCTGTCACTTGGATTCATAGGTTAGAATCCTATCTTTATTGATGGCTTTTACAAAGACTTTGAGCCAGTTCTCATCAGTTCATCTACAACCCAGCTTGCCAGCTCCATTCTTGACAGCTGCCTTAGGTGCATTACTTAATTTCCTCACCCCGTTTCTCATGCCATCTTTGATATGATGAAAAACATACTTTTGTAACAACATATTTTGATATACATAGGGTGGTGTAGCAAGTTTCTACTAATACAGGTGACCAGATGCAATGAAGTAAGGCAACCGTTAGGACACTTCTGCCTGCAGGCTAAAATTTGGTAAAACTTTTTAAAAAAAGACTAAGTTGTGTTTGACAGTAGAATACTACTACAAGAAGATCGAGCTCTAGAAGAGTCTGCTAAAAAGGAAAGTTGGAATTAATGGAGTCTAAAATTGATTTAGTAAACTAGCTCTTTGATGGAGTGGAAACTAGAACTGCAGAAAGAAAGATACAGCTAATTGAAGAACATAATTTAATTCTTGAAGCAGAGTGTGAAGCTCACCAAGGGGTAGATTGCAGCTTTAATTGAAGAAGGATTTGTATGTTTCTATGCATGTGTGTTCCAGATCCTTTTAATGTGCTGTTTGTCCAATGATATGCAGAAAACTATTACTTTCAACAGTGAAAATAAAACACGACTATGCCATGAAGACAAATGCCCCCCCCCTCAACTCACTGGCAGTTAGAAAGACAAAGGCAAAGTTAAGAGTTGAGCTATGTGAGCTGGAAGCTGGAAGCAAAGCTGCAGGCTGGGAAGCCAGAGAGAGAGAGAGTCATGCCTGGTTTCCGCTTGAATCCAAGGCTGCAGATAGCTGCAGAAGCAAGAACCTTTTCGTGCTAATGCTGTGAGCCCCTCCATCATAGGCACAGGTTGTAAAGGTAAAGGGACCCCTGACCATTAGGTCCAGTCGTGACCAACTCTGGGGTTGCGGCACTCATCTCGCTTTATTGGCCAAGGGAGCCGGCGTACAGCTTCCGGGTCATGTGGCCAGCATTACTAAGCCGCTTCTGGCGAACCAGAGCAGCGCACGGAAATGCCATTTACCTTCCCGCCGGAGCGGTACCTATTTATCTACTTGCACTTTGATGTGCTTTTGAACTGCTAGGTTGGCAGGAGCAGGGACCGAGCAATGGGAACTCACCCCGTCATGGGGATTCGAACCGCGGACCTTCTGATTGGCAAGTCCTAGGCTCTGTGGTTTAACCCACAGTGCCACCCGCGTCCCGGCACAGGTTGTACATATAAATAAACTATAAATCATAAAGACACCACAGTCTCCATTGTGCCTCATTCCAAAGGAAACATGAACCCTGGGTAAGAGCCTAGAATGCCTGGAATCTCACATTGCTCAGAGATCAAGGTGCTGTACAACAGTTTGTTCAGTTCATCTCTTCCACTTTTTATTCTATAGTAGTAGCAGGGCTGGCCTGAGACATTTTGGCACCTGAAGTGAACCGCAAAAACACTCCCCTGAACCAGGGAATAAGGGGTGAGTGAAGATCTACAACAGGAACAAGGGGGGAAATAAAGATCTGCACCAGAATCTGCTGTCGCTCTGGATCCTGTTGCCCCAACCTTCCTTGTGGGTGGACCGGCTCTGGTAAGCAGCATCCGTACATGCACACAGAGGGTCAAAAGCAGCTGTTATTGTTTATTAGATTTCTTACTGAGGTCCTAATGCTGCTTACAACAGCAAAAACAGTACAAATAAAATAAGTACAAATAAAACCAACCTACCATGCCCAACAACCAGCAGTTTAGACCCCATGCTATACTATCCTTTGCTTCTCTATACAGTGGTACCTCGGGTTAAGTACTCAATTCTTTCCGGAGGTCCGTTCTTAACCTGAAACTGTTCTTAACCTGAAGCACCACTTTAGCTAATGGGGCCTCCTGCTGCCGCCGCGCCACCGGAGCACGATTTCTGTTCTTATCCTGAAGCAAAGTTCTTAACCCAAGGTACTATTTCTGGGTTAGCGAAGTCTGTAACCTGAAGTGTATGTAACCTGAAGCATATGTAACCCGAGGTACCACTGTATAACTGGTTAAGAGGAGCTCTTCTGTTTAAGTGAATGCAAGGGTAGCATCCAAAACAGCAGCATTTCCGAAACAGACAATCAGGCAATTAAGCATCTCTCAGGAAGTTAGTTACCATGGAGAGCAAAACACTGTCACCGCCAACTGCGTTCTCTGAACCTACCTGCTAGAAGCTAATCAGAATGAAGCAGAAAGCCATGTTAATTAGAAAACAAATTATCTAAACCCTGCCAATCAAGTCAGATGTAATGAAAACTGCAGTACATTTGCGGAAGTGTAACACTCAGAAAGTTAAATGGACTCTACAATGTACTTAAGCATCCAGACCACATAATTTTACCTGCACAGATATGTAACCATTTCCAAAAGGGGTAGCGACATAGCGTCTTGCAGCAAAAGTGACTGGTGGCACCTGAAAGACAAACAAATTTATTATGACGTATGCTTTTGTGGTCTACAGTCTACTTCTCACAAACAATCTATTAGAGGAGAGAAAAATGACAGAACACTACTTGTTGTCAATTACAAGTCAAAATTAGATTATTTGTTTATTACTTACTTACTTACTTACTTACTTACTTATAACCTGCCCATCTGGCCGGGCCTCCCCAGCCACTCTGGGTGGCTCCCAACAGAATATTAAAAACACAAAAAAATCAAACATTAAAAACTTCCCTAAACACTATATTCCCTAAATCACTATATGTTCAGTTTTCTACAGCCCATCCCAGACAATTACATTTCCCTCTTCCAAGCCTTGGATGGAAGGCCTGTAGTTGCTTACAAAGAGCTTCACACAACCTAAAACCAGTGGAGGTTGGTACATTGGGGCTGCTCCAACAACCTCCACCTGTCCTTAGTCAACCTACACCTGCCTGCCTTCTTTCTTATATAACCAGTCAGCTTCCTCCTCTTCCTCCTCAGTATTGCACTTGTATAATGGGGACAAAGCTAGAATTTCCAAACTCTTCCTCTCATTGGCTCTAGCTCCACCTACTGTTAGGTTTCCTGCCTTCCACCCCATCATTCCCAATGGGCAGCAGCCACCACTGCTTAAAACAGCTACTCAGCAACAATGACAGGGATATCTACACAGGGAGCAGACCCTGGGGCAGACTGATTCCACCAACTCCATCCACAGCAGTATTACAGGACCCGGTAATGTCATCCACCCCACCAGTGGTTCATTTACCAGCTCATCTTCCAAAGGGACATAAGTGATCATCCACCATCACTGCCCTTCTGCATTCTACATGGTGCAAAGAGGCCAGTCTCTATAGAAAAGAATAATGGAAACAAATCTGTCGTTGGACGTGGCCCGTGGGGAATACTTCAGCCTCCCAGGACACTTTGTAATTGGCCATCCTTAATCAAAGGAACTTCAGAGGAGGGTACAACATAAAACCACTGGATACATCAAGAGGTTCAGTGCTACCACTTGTGGACTCAGTTGGCACAACTGATTTTTATCATGTTGGCTTACCAGTGCCAGGATGTGTGTTAGCACCTAGTTTTTTTGTGAATGGCCACCGTTAGTAAGGTGATTTATCACCACCTGTACATGTCATATCTTTCTGACCTCACTGTTTATAATTCACCACACACACACACACACACACACACACACAATGCACACACAAGCAAAATCATGTATGTGTGAAGTGACCTGTAGTCCACAAAAGCTTACATCACAACACATTTTTAATTTTTAAAGTGTCACAAGACTCCTTGTTGTTTTTGCACATATGTTTTTAAAAAAGTGAGCCCATGGCATTGGTTCTCTGTTTATAATGGAATCTCAACTAGAGAATGACCACAAAGAGGTAAATCATTTTGGCTGATTTGGTCAATCGTTTTGCTAATACACAGGGCTTCTTGGGGGAATATGTAGACTGTAGAGTTAATGAACTAGTCCAAAATAATAGGTGATCTGTGGTTTGAAATTCTGGAGGCGACACACTGCCTCCCACATACCACCTACTGTAAACAGTGCTCCTGCCAGTTGGGTAGTGCTGCCATGCAGGAAAGGTTTAGACACAATGGGACTTTGGGGTCATCTAGTTCTCTAATTCTAGGATTTTGACTTTGGTAATCTTTAATGCAGCTTTGCAAATTTTTTAGTAGCTTATGATGACAACTGTAGCATAGCAAATCTATACATGGCCCAAGGACACAGATTTTCATAAACATCTGCTTAAGTGTTTTACATTGTGCTGAGGGATTAGCCTCCCCCACTTTTTTCCTCTGGAGGCCAAATTACAGTTTATGTTTCCAAGACAGAGTTGTTTAAGGATCTTCAGGAAAACCGGAGAGAGCAAACAAATATAATTTCAGTATTTAACGAATAGGTAATTGATTTCATTGCAATTACTTAAATTGTGCTCATTCTAGTATGTGAATCATCAGCGAAGTCCTAAAAGCTTGCTGAACCACTTTCACAAATTACAGGACCAAAACATTATAGGATGAAGACTCAAACCTATTGGGCCTTGTATTATAGTTTTAAGATGTTGGACTGGGTAATTTGCATTCCCCTCCCCCTACAAAGTTGTGTTGATTTATATATTAATGATGTGCTTACTTATGGAGACAATGGTTATTTGCAATTGTTTCTATTGTTGTTGTTTTGGATTGGCGTACCTATTGTTAATTGATATGTTGTGAGCTGTTTTGAACACAAACTTGTAGAAAAGCAACATGCAAACAAGCAACACCTGGATTGCCAGTAGTACATGTGAAAAGGATATTTAAATGTCTTTAAAGATGGCTTGGATGAAGGAACAGATGGGAGGCTCATCAAATTTGCAGATGACACCAAACTGGGAAGGGGTAGATAATACCTTAGAAGACAGAATTTGTATTCAAGATGACCTTAACAAATTAGAGAAATTGGCCCAATCTAACAATATGAATTTCAATAGGGACGAATGTAAGGTTCTACACTTAGGTAAGAATAACCAGCTACACATATACAAGATGGGGGCCACCAGGCTTGCCAGTAGTACAAAAGGATCTAGGGGTCTTAGTAGACTACAAGCTTAACATGAGTGTGATGCAGCAGCAAAACAAAGCTAATGCTATTCTAGGCTGCATCAAGAGAAGTATAGTGTCAAGGGAAGTAATAGTCCGACTCTATTCTGCCTTGGTCAGACCACATCCAGAGTACTGTGTCCAGTTCTGGGTACCACAATTTGATGCTAAAGTTCCATTTCTATTATGCTTGGTGTGTTGCTGACATATGTGGGCCCTTGACATGCATGTGGTCCTTAGACATGACTCACACTCCATGTGCACATCTGGGCTGGGCTGGGCATACTCCAAAGAGGTTCCCATGATGCTTCTGGGCTTGTATGTCATGAGTATTTATATAAGGTTCCATCAGTCAACAAGTGATGGACATGTATTTCAGAAACAGCTACAGTTCTACCTTAGACACCACTAACTACAAGCTTGCTTCCCCAAGAGTATCTGTTTTAATATTTTATGCCCAGCTGACACTTGAGCACCAAGTCATAAAACCGACATTTGGGAAGGAAATATTACTTCTCTTCTATGCACCCTACCCTTCCTATCTGAACTCTGTGAAGGAGGCTAGATTGAGCAACTGCCCAAGGCCACCCACTGGATTTCATAACTGAATGGAAATAATAGTAGAGCCATGACACCATATTGGTTCCAGTGAATCTGGCATGTACTGTGTCGAAGAATGATGCAGACATTTAGTATTCTACTAAAATAGCAGTTAGGCCTGTTTTGCTACCTAGAGCCTATTGATTTCTTTAAAACTATATCAATAGCTTGTGAACCACCCCTTAAATTTTTTAGGATTTATATACCCATGGATATTACAGATATCCTCAGAGGTAAATTCCCCCCCCCTCGTTGTCCCTATAGCATGCAGGGAAATTATTTATGCTATCATCTGTATCCCGAAATAATAAAAAAGAAGGGTTCAGGGTTTGTTGTAAACCACTCTGATGTTTTTACTATAGCATTCCTTGTCAGTAATTACCTGGACCACTGAATTAGCATGTCCCTTGAGATCCCCCATACATTCCCCCACAAAACTCTGTTTGCTAGTGTGCGTTGAATAATGAAATTTATCTGTTTAATTCTTGCAAGCCAGAAGAAGTTGGTATTGTGATAGGAAAACATAATTTTAAAAACATGTCCTTTATTTTTTTACCAATTAGATGCACAGATAAAAGTGAAGACTGTGTTCTCTAGCCTATTTATATAACCATAAAAATGATTTCAAATCACAAAGGCTAATCACAAAGTTGATATTATATGGATTTTTTTTGGTATCCAGCAAGTCACCTTGTAAGAACAAATGCATGATGTCGTTCTACAGTTGGGGAAAGGTAGGCTATAAAGGTATGAAGATAACGAAATAATTTTAAAAATGGGCTGCTTGTCAGTTGGAGGCCTTGAGGCATTTTTTTGTACCTTTCAAATTTTGCAGTTCCATGCCTGACTTTTGTGGAGATCTGAATTAAGAAATAAGAAAAAGGAGTACTGAGCTTTAAACATTATCTCCCCTGCACCCCATTTAAGAAAGTTTTTGGGTGTGTTTCATTTTGTTTTACAATATTATTTTTAAAACTTAAAGGCCATTTATTTGTGGTTGGAATTCCATGCTACTCAAACTGGAAAAGGTAGAAACAAAATATTGTGCTGCTTCTGGGATTAGTGATAATATTGATTTAAAAAGTCTCAGAGACCCATACCAAAAAAGGTCATTCTTCTAGCAAAGTACTAAATTGCCATTTCTGCCTTTATAAATCTTTAGAAATTCTACACAGTTAAATCTAAAGCCTTTTGCAAACGCCTCTCTTTAGTTCCTCAGCAGCAGATGGATTTGCAGATGACCCATATTAATTTATGATTTAATGTCTCCTGATAGGGAATCATTGCATGCTGTTGGGACTCACTGCAGTAGTAATGCCTTTTGCTACGGTAAATATCCTTAAAAGCAGGATCCGGATCAATGCCAATCTTATATTCAAGTATCAGTGATTATTAATGGATAAATTATTTTGCCAAAGTGCTTTAAGTATTAACTAAAATGGAAGCAGATAAATTTCATTTGGGAGTTTCTTTATATGTTGCAGGGGGGAAACGATTAAAAAATAAACAAGTACGTTTTTAAATAAAATCCTTATTTCATATACCGCACTGTATGAGTTATTGGTTGTAGCCCAATCTGCACTATGCATTTAAAGCAGTAAAATACCTGAGTTCTATGGGAAAAGGGATTTATTAAAAACACTCTGGGAATCATAGCTTTGTGAGGGGAATAGACGTCTCTTAACAACAACAAAATCTTTGTGCACAATCTTTTCCTTTATCTGTCCAAGGGATCTGGAAACTGTGACCCTCCAGATGTTGTTGGATTCCAGCTCCCATCAG